TCTAAATAAATGCCTCTGCCTTGCTCTCCCTACCTTGAGTGTTTGCGAAGTTCATTCTTTGACTCTGCAAACACGAACCCCAGCATCATTTTGGGTGGCTCTCTTGTCCCTTCCTGGCCTGAGCCAGGAGCTCTGTCCTCTTGCTTTATCTCTGAATAAAAGCCTCTGCCTTGTTCTACCTTCAGTGCTTGCGAAGTTCATTTGACTCCACGAACAAGAACCCCAGCATCAGAAAGGCTGGGATAAGGCTGAAAAGTGGGTAGGGGGTAGACTTCTGAAGACTCCTGTATGCCATCTAAAGGAGTTTGAATTTCACTTTTAAGAACTCGTTTATCAAATAATATACCAAAGAAGTGTTAAGCTTTGTAGGAATTACATTCTTTTTAGTTCTTATTACAGTGCTTAGAGTTTCAATTAATTCTGACCTACTAGATTAATACATTTTGCACCTAATTGGCCACATATGATTAAAAAGATTGCTTCAACTCCCACTGTGGGAAAGGTCAACTGGCAATTAGATTGAGCAGCTCTAAAGAGTTGAAAGAAAAGGTGAATGCTGTATCAATTTCACCTTATAAAAGCAGAATGTGTCCTTCACCTAGTATGTCTGCAGGTTTGTATCTATACTCAGTGACATGCACAGAAGTCACTGTTTATGCAACAAAGAGCAAGGATTATTTAGGGCAGGTGACGGCCCAGAGAGAAACTGAATAAAAGGACAGAGAAGGGTACTCCCTTTGTTGAGTGTCAAAAACACTGGCCTGCTCTGTGATAAAGGCTTCCCCATATTATGTCATTTAAGCCCCACAAGCATCCTGCAAGACAGACATTACTCTCTCCATGTCACAGATGAGTGCTTGAGGCCAGAGAAAAATTTAGGCAAATGGCCACCTAAACGCTTTGAAATGTTAAAAAAATACTTAATGCCATTTGTTAATTTTGCAAACAAATTCTATCAGTAAGTTATTAGAAACTAGACTGGATAATATAAATTTCATCCTAAAAAAGGTATCATAAAGTTTGATTAATGAGTTTTTCTCTGTTTGAGATGGTAATAATATACTGTATTTTAAAAGAAGAATTTGTATTTGTAACAAAAATAGTTTAACTTCATGAACCCTGCTGATCAAATCTCACTGCATAGATTTGGAGGGTCCCCACCTTTGGATTCATGTTCTCACTCTCAAATAAAGTGACCGTCTTTTACAGACACATTTAACTGAGGGACATCAGTTGGGACAAGGCCTCAGGCTGCTCTCCAACAAACTCACCATTACAAGAATCAAAACTGAAGATCTGATCAAGGGACCCAACTGTCACTGGTGACAGATTCATAAACTGGGCCTGTCACACTCTTATACAATATGGTCAGTCAAGCTTCTCCTGACAAGGTTTTTGGAAAAAGAAATAACATGGTCAGGGAGGAAGGTAAAAGTTATATATGAGAGCTAGATTAATTTAAAATTCCAATTTTTATTAGCCATTTTTACATTTCTATTCCAGAACTTGTTCCACACACACACACAAAAATGTAATAGAAAATACATGCCCCTATAACATATAAAATATTTAGGCAATTAAAATATTATGCAATTACTTTAAATCTTAATTTATGCTTTGATGAGAGCTTAATAAGTAGGCAATTTCTCTGCTTTTTTTTCTGATGCACTAGGACCAAATGGTATCCACTTGCAGAAGATTTGACTTAGTTATATTACCTTTTATCTTGCAAAGTAAAATGCCAAATCAAGTTTAAAAACATGTTTAAATTTTACCTTTAATAGTAAAATTAGATCTTTCAAGTTTGTAATTTTAACATACAACCCAGTTGAAACTTCTACCTCCCCTAAATGACTTTTGTTAACCCAAATTATCCTCCTTGGTTGCCTGCTCTCAATCTCTCTCTCCCTCCATTCCACCTTCCTTTCCCACTCTCTCTTCCTTCCTCTGTATGAGAACACTCATTTTGGGGCAAAAATCATACAATTGCCCAATATATCAACTTTCCAGTAATAGTGCGGGGAAAAATGCTGTCGATATGTTATGAGATAATTTGTAGTTAATCATTCTAGCTCTTTTTTTGGCATTATTTATCTCAGCACATACCCAACAGTTTTCTTTTTTAAGCCTACCCCTCAAATATCAAAGTCCTGGACACAATTTAGAAATATCTCTTTGCTCTGTCGACAGGGGATTTTGAAAGTTACAGGCAAACATGCAGGAGTAAATTAAGTTGTAGGTGATTAATTTGTGTGGGTTCTGAAAAATGTATTATGGTCTAAAATTACTTGATTTGATATAAATTGTCTTGAAATTCCAATTTTTATTAATTTTCTTATAAGAAAATACAATGAAAACACCAAACAACACACACCTAAAACTATTAAATATTTCACTTTGCAAATTCCACCTACTGTGCCATTGTGAAGTCTTCAATTTATTATTTACACATAGTGCATAGTCTCTTATTTATTTTTAATTAATGACTTAAAAATTTCTTTTATGTTTAAACAGTAACAATATGAAGAATTCTTAGACTATTGACCTTGCTTGGTATAAAGATTTTATTAAAACCTTTATCAGGACCTGAATAGACATTTTCTCAAATAAGACATATACAGATATCCAATTCATATGAAAAGATGCTCAACATCACTAATCATCAGGAAAATGCAAATAAGTATCACTTCACACCTGTTAAAATGGCTAACAGCAAGAGAAGAAATAACAAGTGTTGATGGGGATGTGAAGTAAAGGGAACCCTCACAGAGTATCAGTGAGAATGTAAATTAGTGCAGCCACTAGGGAAAACAGTATGGAAGTTCCTCAAAAAATTAATTCTTCTTCTTGGTATTTATGCAAAGAAACACTAATTTGAAAAGATATATGCACCCTTATGTTTACTGCAGCATCATTAACAGTTGTCAAGATATGGACATCAGTCCATCAGTGGATAAATAAAGAAGGTGCATATATACAAGGAATTATATTCAGCCATAAAAAAAAATCTGGCCATTTGTGACAATATGTGGACCTAGAGGGTATAATGCTAAGTGAAATAAGTCAGATAGAGAAAGACAAATGCCATATGATTTCATTTATATGTTGAATCTAAATAACAAAAAGAAAAAAAAAACCGAGACAGACTCTCCATACAGACAACTAACTTGGTGTTGCCAGAAGGGAAGGGAATGGGGGTGTGGGAGAAATAGGTGAAGAGATTTAACAGGTACAAACTTCCAGCTATAAAATAACTACACCAGGATGTAAAGTTCAGCATAGGGAATACAGTCAATAATATTGTAATAAGTTTGCATGGTGACAGGTGGTAACTAGACTTATGCTGGTGATCATTTTGTAATGTATATAAAGGTCAAATCACTATGTGGTATACCTGAAACTAATATAATTTGTATGTCAACAACAGGTCAATAATAAAGTTTTTTATTTGTATTACTACTGCATCAAATAACATGAATTTAGTTGTCAGTCTTCTAACTACACATACCAGAAAAAGAGACTGCAACAATTTAATTTACTAAATCACAGTTCACTAGTACAAATAATTATGTACTTAGTAAAAAAATTTAAACACCATCATCAACCACAAACTACAGTGCCACACTAACACAGTAAAGCAGAAAACTATCCCAAGGCATCCCAGCTCAGTAGACTTTTTCATCTAACAGTGACATATTTAAGCTCAGAGTCTATGGGCATTTGATTTGCTGTTTTGCTTGGTTTTCCAAACTATTGCAGGTCCTGATTTCACATGGCTATTGTGTGGATCAGATGATCCCTGGTCACAAGAATACGCTGGAGAGTGACTCCCCTGGCTATGAGTGTGGTCAGTCACTCCACATGCTTTGGGGATGAGCTATCTTTTCCACGATGAGAGATTTCCTTTTCAAGTTTTGTAATCCCCAAATACGAAATACTAGTATTTAAGTCAAAGTAATTAAGGAAATACATGTTGCAATATTGTTCAAGATAAGCACTGGAATTTGGCTTCTCTCTCCTGTTGTGCTTTTTAAAAAATAAAATTATTACTGACCTGGAACAAAGAAGAATTTTGCAATATATGCTTAGAATTATAAACATGTACTACACTGACTTCTTGAATGTGAAACATAACCAGACATTTAAAAATACAGACATTTGACTTGTGCACACTGCATATGATAGAGTCTCCTTTCGCATGGGTCACTGTATCATAAAACAACTTGGGCAGGGGAGAAAAAAGCAATTCCGGAAACTCTTTCCTCTCTCTTTTCTTCCAATCTTTCATTATGTTTTGGAAAAATAGATCCTAACGTTTTCAACAATATGACTCACTTTATGTTTATGGACTTCCAACACTCCAGAATATTCTCGACTTTTCCCTGAGCACTACAGCTCACGGAGTAGGAGAAAATCGGTGTCAGGTTCCTGCTCTGCGTTAACACGGGATGCAGACGGCTCCCGAATTCCGGGAGCTCTCGGTGGTGATCCAGCGCTCAGCGTTCTGCAGACCAAAGGGACGCGCGCTAGGTTGGGAAATGCCTCCTGGGGTGGTTCCGAGGACTGGGCATGGTCAATCTCTTTAAGGATTAATTGGAGTTACAGAAACTGCCCTTCCGGCCTCTTGCTAACCATCCTTTGCTCCTAGGGTTTTACAAGTTGCCTGCAAGGGGCTCAAACATGGGTCAGGCAAACAAATGTGTTCTTTCCAGCCACCGTAACCGGATCGCCAGGGCGAAATACCGTCGCAGAAGCGGCCGGACACCGCAGCCAGCCAGCCTGCCCGAGCTAAAAGCTACTTCTAAGTGAGGCTGCAAGCGCCGCCGGGGTGCAGATTTCAGGCGGTGGCTAAGCACAGCTACCACACCCCATCCCCCACCACACACACAAAAATGCATGAGGGAGGGAGGACCAGACAGACGAAAGTCGTCCGCATTTCTGCGCGTCGGCGCCACTCGTTAGAAAGTTCTGCAGCTTTAGGACACGGGAGGGAGAGGCAGACTGGCCGGGAGCCGCGATCCAGTGAGACGGCAGGAGGGGGCCCTCTGCCCATCTCCCCCACCTAGACAGCTGTCCAGCTCTTGGAATTCATTGGCTTCCCCCACCCCGCCTCCCAAATACCACCCCAATCCAGTTTAGTCCCCCGCCCCACCCTCGCTGACCGAATAAGGCCATGTAGTGTGTGTGGGACCTATATAAAAGGTGTGGGCTCGCGGGGACTCTGCACGACGCCGTGGAGAGAAGGCAGCAGGCACCCAGTGCCCACGAAGACGACCATGGCCAAGGAGTGGGGCTATGCCAGCCACAATGGTGAGTGCGGGCAGCTGCAGCCCCCAGCCCCCGGACCGTGCCAGACGAACTCCTGGCTTTGCAAAGACAGTGGGCAACTCTAGGGAGTGCGCTGGAAATTGTGGGTGGAGTAGTCCATGGAAACTAACATTTATTGAGCACTTAACCAAGTGCCAAAAGCTGCTGACCCTTTTTTGTTTGACTCATTCAGTGCTCCTGGTATGGTGCTGTTACCACGCCCTTTGGAGGAAAGTGAAGTGCACAGAGGCTCTGTAACTTGCCTAAGATCACATTGCCTCTGACTGAGGAGTCCAGTTCTGATTGTCCCCTACTCCGTGATTTTGGGCAAGCACTTAACATCTCTGAGCCTGGTGCACGCATTAGAATCCGTGCTCTGCCTGCTGCTTCTGCCTAGCCTATGGAAAGAGGAATACAGGTGTGCCCTGAAAACCACATATGATCAGTGCCCTGTTTTATTTCCACTGTATGATTTAAGTTGGCATTGATAAAAGGTGATGAAGTCCACTTCAAAACAAGCCTTTGAGGCCATATTCTTGAGCAAGCAGAGGGAATACACTGAATTAAATAGAGTCTCCAGGTAAACTGTTAACAAAATTATGAACAGGTCTTAAATGCTGAAGCTTGCATTGCCCAAATTGAAATCCAAGACCTTTTCACAATCACTACCTAGTTTCTGTGTATTTTGCTAGTTTAGTCAATTAGAAAGAGAACTTGGAATGTGCCACCAAACAAATCTTCCTTAACTTGATTTCCTAGGCCCTGACCACTGGCATGAACTTTACCCAATTGCCAAGGGAGACAAACAGTCGCCCATCGAACTGCATACTAAAGACATCAAGCATGACCCTTCCCTGCTGCCATGGTCAACATCTTATGACCCTGGCTCTGCCAAGACCATCCTCAACAATGGGAAGACATGCAGGGTTGTGTTCGATGATTCTTATGATAGGTCAAGTAAGTACAACACTTAGGTAGGGGCACAAGGACATTTACAATGTTTATATTGGCAAAATGTGATTTATGGCACTGTAGCATTAGTGGGAGGAAGGGGCACTTCATCCCTGAAAATGGGGGTATTTGGTTCTGCTCTGGGCGTGAAGAATTATATTCATGCATTAAAGAGGAATGTCTCACTTTCTAACCTGGGGCACTCTGCTGCTGTAAAATGGTCTGATGCCTAAACTAAAACTTGGCAATACATTCTTGAAATGGAGCTCAATTTCCATGAGTGTTCTTCAGGCTCTGTGACCACCTACACCTGAGGGTTCTTGGGTTCCTTGACCATGGCCCATAGAACTAGGCTCCCATTCCCAAGCGAGACAGAGATTCCATTCTACAAAGCAAGGAACATAGCAAAGAAAGCGGGCATTTTCATCCCCTGGTGTGTGGGTGGGGCCCAGTCCAGGGGAGAGAACAGGACCATTGTGTGAGTCAAGAAGACTTGTCTTCAGCGCTCCGGGGTCGGGGGTGGGGGTCATCAGATTAATCCTTTGGTGAGTTCTTTGGAAGTATCTGACAATCTCTTCTTGAGCAGTGATTTGTATCTGTGTGAAAATGAAAAATCACTAGTTCAAAAAATTTATTTTACCTACACTCTTAAGCAAATCAGTGAAAAAAGAAGGTTAATTAGAAATGCTTTATTTCACTGTAAGGAACCTGTCTTTAATATTTTAGTGTCTGGTGTCAATAATATATTTTCTTACTATCACATTTGTCAAAAAGTTAGAATATCCTTGATGTACATAAAAAAAATACTCTCTGTGATATGAAAAGTTATCGAGTCATATTTCCTACCTACTAGAGGGTTCCAAGTAAGAAGTATCATAGAAAGCCGTATTTTCTTAAACAATAATTTCATGTGGTGATGTTACTTTTTTCTCCCTTCTCCACTTAAATCAAGCCATATTGAAGGATAAACAAAAAAATTAAACACTATTAGATTGAACCACATGAAAGTGCCAATTTTGTAAGCGAAAATGGTTTAATACTGACAATTTCATATGTTGATCCTAATAAACCGAACTCATATGTCCAGATAACATGTTCCTAATGGTTGAACAGGAAAAATGCAATGAATCAAACCACTTATTCCTACATGACCAAGCTCATGCAAATCTAACTCTATTGCTTTAGACCTCTTCTATGGCTTTCAGTCTGCCATTTCAGCACCAATAGTTGGTCATCCTTTCTAGAATAACTACTCCCTGAATTCTATTTTTACGTAGCTTATATTGCTAAATCTTGATTTTAAGGTTTCTGCATAGTTTTACTATCATTTAGAAAATATACGAACCTCTAAATCACTCTGCAGGCTGAATGAAGTGAGACCAAATTAAGTGATGGGTTGAGATATTTGGATAAGCTTGAATTAATTCTACTAAGAATTATCTAGTTTTGCTGTCCACGTTGATTGATTCCCTGGGAAATTTCTGAATTTTCCATTTCCTCTCATTTGAATAGACACAGTGTAAATTAGATGTGGCTGAAAGCTCTTGTGTGCCTTCTTGAAGAACAGTGTAGCTGGGGGCAAGACATGGAGAAGGAATTCACATTTGCCCAGTGATTGCTGTGCTGGGCATTGCGATGAGCACTTTAAAGTCCTTAATCTCATTTAATCCTCACAGCGGCACTGAAAGGTTGGTATTATTATCACCTTCATAGAAATGCAAACATGAGTTCAGAGAAGTTTAGCAACTTGCCTGCGATCACACAACTAGCAAGGGTTGGCGCCAGGACTGGAACTAAATCTGCCTGTCATGTTCTTCCCACTGACTGGTGCTTTGGTCTGTTCTATCCTTATTGCCCATCTGTTGTTGTAATTTTAGTCTCATAAATGTTAAATAGACATTTTAAAGATAATAAAATGAGCAAACAAAACAAGAAAGAAAAGAGAAATTATTTGTTTGGGTATATCCCAAGACTGAATTTTGATAGAAAGAGACCAGTGTGCTTGGGAATGACATCATCTGCCCGGCTGACCAACCACCTTTGGCTCCTCCGACCATGGCTGTACGGGCCCTTGTTGAGAGCCGGGCTCTGGAAGAGAAGCGTGAGCTCGCTGACCTAGCTTCTCTGCATCTCAGTGCTGAGAGGCGGCCCGCTCACGGGACCCTACCGGCTCCGCCAGTTTCACCTCCACTGGGGCTCCTCAGACGACCACGGCTCTGAGCACACTGTGGATGGAGTCAAGTACGCCGCGGAGGTAGGAGGAACCACCAGAATCCATTTTGGGTCTTATATGGTAAAAAGTGAAAAATAATGACAAAGCAATATCCACTGCTTTTGTTTCAAGCCTGTGGTAGTTTTTAACATAAGCAGAAGCTGCCCAGTATTCTAGGCTAGACAGTTAAGAAGTGTAAGTGTATTGGTGGTGTTCATGAAGACTTTCAAGGTTAAGAAATTGGATATTGGTTTAATTTCAAAAAAGAAGCCAGGATGCTGAATGGCACTAAAAAGGTAAGGTAGCTAACACTTATTAAGTGCTGCAAGTATTAACTCACTTGATCCTTTCTGCAACTCTGAGGCAGGTCACAGTGGAGGAAACTGAGGCACAGAAATGTTACATAACAAAATCACACAGCTGGTTTGTGTTAGATCTGGTGCTCTTCCTTATTCAGACTGGCTTCTGAGTTCATCTTGTCCAGTACCCTAAGCTGACTCTTTTATAACATTGTGGTGCTTTAAAAATAGCACTTTATGATTCTGGCTAATGCTTATGTTCTAGTTTCTTAATAAAGGGTGTGCATGTGTGTGTGTGATTATATATACATATGTATTTATACACACAGATAGATATAAATACAGATACACACAGCTTAACATGAGGAACTACTTACTACTCTTTCAGTTCATCCATTTAAGAAAAGCATGATTTGTAACACAGATGAAGGCATAAAATTATAAGGCAATAAGACAAGCCCCCTGCATGGTCTCTCTATAAAGCCAAACCTGTAAGGGGTGACAAAGCCCTGAAGGTGAGATCCAAGGTCAAGGATCTGGTCAACACAGGACAGTGACAGGAACTTTGGAGGCATTGTGGACATTCTCTTAGGCAAAATCACCAAGTAACTTAACTGCTGGTGAAACTAAACTCTACAAGACCCACAGTACTTCACGGTGGCCACTCCATTTCTCTATAGCCCATCTAGAAAGCCAGTGACAGGATAGATTAATTACTAAGAAAGCCTTCTAGACATTTTTCCCTGCAAATGGGGAAAGTTTAGTATGTTTCTTATAAATGTGGGCAAGACTGTAAAGGCAGTTTGGCCTTCACACATGGGATTGTCTCACACTTTTGTTCTTGAATAAAATGTTTTTTAATTGCTATGAACTCTTGAATTGTGTTGCTATCCTATGAAATTCAATATGGGAAATTTGACTAATTGTTGCTTATGTTATAAATTCAGATAAGGTCACCACTGGGTTCCAGAGCACTGGCTGCACAAAGGAAGTAGATATGAAAATGCCTAAGGATTTTCCCCTTATTTTTCCTCCCCTACTTCCCAATTAATTGTGACTTTAGAGTGATAGCAGATTTTTTTTTATAGCTCTGTGTTTCACTGTTTGATTTGGTCAGAAAAAGAACTGATGTTATACAAAGCTAAAGTAAACATTCGAATTGGCTTAACCAAATTTCAGTTTTTACTGATTGCTTTTTACAGAACTCTAAATCTATTTATGATAATTCTATACACTTTTTATTTGAAGCTTTAAGAATTTCACCAAAATACTGTATGCTAATACTTAGAATTCTATCAACTTCTATGAGAGTACTCAGCAATCATAGGCTGTACAATTCTTGGGTTTATTGTGAATACTTTTATACTTATTTCCTTATTCTCAGAATTGACTTCATAAATACATAACCTGTGTTTGATGGTTTCAGCTTCACTTGGTACACTGGAATCCAAAGTATAGCAATTTTGGAGGGGCTCTGAAGCAACCTGATGGAATAGCTGTGGTTGGAATTTTTCTGAAGGTAGGGTCAAAATTGACCATATTTTTTCTTTCAAAACTTAGTTCCTTATGAATGCTTAGGATAGCATGAGTTTCACTGCCTCCTTCTATTTAAAGGGGGCAGAGAAATGGATTTCAGTATGCATTCACCTAATCAAGGTATTTCTGCTAAGCTCAGCTCAAAATGTTTTGCTTTCCCTTAGAAATGTATGTTTTGCCATCTTCCAGGACTCCAGCACTTCTACGTTTTCTCAAGATGTGGGGTGTGTGTGTGTGTGTGTGTGTGTGTGTGTGTGTGTGTGT